TGCTCTGATTAAACTGGTCAAACTGGTCTGGTCTGGTTGACCTGGTTAACTGTCAATATAAGAAACAACAACAGAAGAAGAAGAAGAGAAAAAACAGGAAGTGGAAAGAGTTTCACTGGTGAACTCTATTGGTGTCTGTGGAACAAGTTCTTCCCACGTTATGTTCCAACACCTGAACGTCTCTCAGCCTACGTAGGGACCTGACGTCCGATGCACGATTCATTGCGAATTGTCACGAATTTGTATCGATTTTTAACCCAATTCACGATGCATCAATACATCCGATTCTATAGGCTTTTAGACCGGCTCTTGGGTAAGTGATGCATCTTCTTTTAAAAAAGTTTGTCTGCATCACTGTAGTGCTTTAGCCCAGTTAAAAAAGTTTGTCTGCATCACTGTAGCCCAATGTTTCTCACCACAGCACCTCAGGGCAGGTGCAAAATGAGTGAAAGAAGTGGATCACCACAGCACCTCAGGGCAGGTGCAACATGAGTGCAAGAATTTTAGGACAATATGTAAATGAGCTAACAAACATGAGAGTCGATGGATGGATTTGTTTTTAGTTCAGTATTTTTAAAAAAAGGGACTGAAAATGTTAAAAAGGAATGGAAATAAACAGAAGGTACAAAGTACAATATATGACAATAAATATTTCAAAATTTGAATTTTTTTTTCTACCCACGGACATCGATGTTTAATGACATCAGACTAACTCATCCACAACCTGCCCGTTGGTGGTGAGTGTGATAAATGACGACCAGCAAAAAAAAATACACTGATCCACAGCCGGTGACGTCACATTTACAACTCTATTTGACATTTTTCCAAAAGCCACTGCACGGAGTAAAAAAAAAAAAGAAACGCATCAGTGGAGGAAAAGTGAAATGTCTCTGTCATCGTCACGTCTCCAGCGACGGCACATGGTAATTTCTACGCCCTCCACCCCCCCAACCCAACCCCCAAACCCAAAGTACAGAACAAATCCATACACATCAGATGACTGCACACGACCCAGCTGCATACACTCACAAACACCAGGAACGAGAGGAGCAGAGGCTGAGAGAAAGAGGAATCTCCTCCTGTGTGGGTGTTCAAATCAAAACATATGAGTCATCTTTCTGAGAGTCTCGGCAGAGTTCGGCTGCTGGAGCACCTCTTCCACGGCACCTCTCTGTGACATACAGAACATTCTGCGTAGTCTGGGAGCCAACGTGTCAGGTTTTCTCAATAGGACTGCAGAGTTTCCCAACCCTCGGTGTGTGTGTGTGTGTGTGTGTGTCCCACATTCTCCTACATGACACCGCTGGACCACTTCTGTCACAAAATCAGGGACGGCTGTGTGTGTGTGTGTGTGTGAGAACCTGCACAGAAAGCATTTCTTGTTGTTCTGGTAGACGACGGGTGACGAGAACGTGCAGTTCTTATAGAAGGATCCCGGCTAAATGTTTGGGTCAATAACTAAAGAGAAGAAAATGAAGTAAAGTAACAACACGTGCTAATTACTGACTACAAATACATGTGTGTATAAGACGTGTATTTCACCTTGTTTTGACTTGTTTCATCATCAAACACCATGAAAAACAACGATCTGTCAAATTTTCACCAGTTTTGGAAAAGATATTTTGCCATCACTAAAACCAATTTTTGTAAATAATAATAATAACCGGTTAATTTCTTTAATTTACAAATGAAAGTTAACGCATGTTTGGTGTCTGTCTGTATTTCTTACGTTCTCCAACCTCTGACTTCTCGGCCTCGGCGGTTGTTTCTTGGGCTAATTTTGAAGTCTATCCATCAAACGTAATCTAGTTTTGAAATGCTGCTTCATTGCTTTGACATTTATTGTCCCTGGAATTAAAATAAACCCTGATGAACTTAACGACTTCATCACATTTGCAGTAACACCCTCAGTGAATTAAAGTGACACTGTGGGAAACATGTAATGAACGTCGGTTGTCGGTGTTGGAAAAAAAAAAAAAAAGAAGCTGACAGAACGAGATTGAAGGGCGATAAATGGGAACTTGTCGTCGCAGGTGGATGTTATACACATGCTGACAACGGTGGAAGTCACATGTGGCACCCCGCGATCGGGCTCCTATTGGATGATCTAGCTGTCAATCACATCATCTGTCGACTGCAGAAATACAGAACCTCATCGTCCTCATCTTTTATAAAAGGCATAAAGACTTTTAAACAGGTTGAATTAGCATTAGCCTCACCTCGTAGACACTCGCAGGTTGAATTAGCATTAGCCTCACCTCATAGTGACTACAGCAGGGGTTGTCCACACTTTTTTGGCTTGGGAGCTACTTCTCAAATGACCAGGGTAAAGTGGAAACATTTACTCATTAAACTGAGTATCTTTTTATATAGATTATATGTTGGAGTACGTTGATAAAATGTCTGTAGTTGAATGGTACAATACTGTCTGATTTAATACTTAAAATATAATTACATCTATAATTATGATTAAAATCCCGATTTACTTATTGGGCCCTGCTGGACTACAGTATGTGACGGGGCGTATATTTGGAAAGATTCTGGCGATACGATATATTGCGATACACATTCTATAAGCATGTTGATATATTGATTTGTCAATCAATATCACTGTAGTCCCAGTGTGATCCTAATCTCAGACTCTGTTCCATCTGAACATCAGGTTACTAACACTGGAACAGAGGGATCGTGACAGGATCGCCGTATCGTGACAGGAAAGATCACGATCTCTCAGCGAGTCTGTATTTTCCTACACCCTCAGTTTGTCATAACTTCATCAGTTCCAAACCCATCAGCTCTCTTCCTGCTACGACTCCCTGTAACGTTGTTTACACAGACTGTAATTTTCAGCCGGACAATTTCAATCTTCATTCTCCACAAATTATTAATAAGTGTACAGCGCCCATGCCTGACCGACCTGCCTGCTGCCTACAGTTGTGTGTTATTTAAAAAGAAATCAATCAGGTCGTAAGAAAGAGAGAACTACACAACAGCACATTCCCCTGAGCCCTAAATCTCTCTGGCAGGAACTTTTTTTTTTTTTTTTTAATCAATGAATCAAATATGTGTATCAGTAAACCTGCCGGACATATTTGTGCATAAATATAAAATTGAAGACGTACAAGAATAAAGAAGAGGAAAAAAATGGTGGAATCTTTGATCAGAATCAGAATCATGTTGAATTTGATCTCATGATAAAATAATCCTTGTCATAAAATTCAAACATTCCTAAGATATTTTTCAGTCATATGTTACATACTGTACACTAAGAACCACTGGATAAATATATCTATTATTAATTTAAACAAAATTAAAGAGGTTTAGTCGTGAGCAAATGCCTGATCCTCTAAAAGTTTCAGTGGTGTTCGAGGAGGACAACGACACAAACTATTTTTCATTTTTAATTCACTTCTCTTAAAGAAACCTATAGAATGACAAACTCAAACTTTAGAAGTTGGTACGGGACAAAAGTTAGCTAAGAGGCTTCAAATGACATAAGTCGTCTTCGAGCTTCAATAATTAGAAGGTTACCGAATTAAACTGAGTGGCTAAAACTTGCGACTCTGAAAGAAACCTCTTTCTGTCTCGAGAAAGACCCACCATTCACAATGTCCGCCTCCAGGCATCAAAAAAAAAAAAAAGGGCCACACATTAATTATTTGTAGAAATTCTACCAGAGTTCTCTGGACCAAACGAAAAGAAAGTGGAAATATGTTCTGGACATCAACTCCTTGGTTCCAATCACAACAATGAATATTGTAAAAGGAAGGATTTGAGACAGTGTTCATCATATCATCGACATAGAGCTTTATACTGGACTTATTATAGAGAGATCTCATATACTCCCATGAAGATCCTAAATACTGGTGTCCTCTGAGCGGCCGGCGACCACCTTGACTCCTGATTCTGGACACAGGTGACTAAGACAAAAGGGAAGGGGAGGCTCTTATAGACAACCACTGATGACCAAACGGCCAATCACATGTGAAATCTCACACACACATCACCTGTGACTGAAGGATATCACGTTTTGGTTTTGAGTTTTTCATCACAAAAAGAATTGATCAGTTCCGTCTCCTACCGGAGGGATTGCGGACGCTCTGCCTCTACATGCCCACCGTGAGGCCTGTACCACAGTTTCTGTCACAGCTCCCTGAGTGGAACCAGTGTGTCGGAGTAGGTTCTGCACCCCCACCGCCCCCCCTCCACACACACACATACACAGAAGCAGGTTTACAGATTAAGGATGACTGTGATTTTAACCCCATGTCCAGTAAAAAGAGCCTCTCTTTGACACAGACACTGCCGTCTTTGCCTTGTACGGCAGGTGGTGATGCGCTGTCCACGGTGCTGAAACTGAGTCCAGGGCCTGAATTGTGGATTCCGAGTGAGGAAGAAGGGGGGGGGGGAGTATATAGGGGGGGGCATGCAGTTAACTACATTAGTCATACACGCGCGCACGCAGACACGTTTTTTGCTAAAGCATGTGACACTATTTAAGGTTCCTGAGATGGAAAGTGTTATAGTGATGATGATGATGATGATGGTGATGGAGTCAGCAGCAGCAGCAGCAGCAGCAGCAGCAGCAGC